TTAATTTTAATAAGCATGCTAAATTGTTGAAATTCTGTTTTGTGTTTATAGTGGAAATTCGTCAGTATTATAAAGTCCGCTGTCCGACCGGATACTCACTGATTTTCGGATAGGATAGTTTATTTATTTTGCAACCGCTTAGGCTATATTACCGTACATCCGTTTCATCTCTAGTTTTAGTCTCAGTCACAGAAAAAATCATCCATTATGTATGTTTATTTTTAAATCAAGTTTCTGCCTTGGTTATAAATTGGTGCAAGCCTCGCTATAGTCCGAGCATATTAGGTAGGTTTACTCTTCGGACAATTTATGATCAATGCTGGCCGTTAATATTTTGAATGATTACTTTTTCCGTATTCGGATTCGCGTGTTCGTGTTTTGCTGCTGGCTAATGTATCTTTTCTGATCGAGACCGGCATAGAGTCAGTATCTTAAAATTTATCTATAAGTGATTCTATATATATATTGGCAAATAAAATGAAGAGATTAAAGATAATTCCTGGTATAATTACCAGGATTTCATTACGTCCTCCGGGGCTACTGTTGATCCCTCCATTAGAGTAGTATTATGAAACAATAATTATGTGACTATTAAAATACAAACATCTCACAGTGAATGGTAACCGTTGTCACTTTGTACTACTTTATCTAGTGTTATCATATAAATATCAATATTCACTTTTAAAAAATTTGTAGTATCAACTTTTTATTGCAACTAACGAATATTTTACATCTAATAGATATAATTAACTAAGTTATATTTCATCAACTAAGTAATTTATTTTTAACTTTTTTATCAGTATCAGTAACGGCTCTCGTATAAACGTTTAGCCAGTTTTTAAGTTATACTAGGTGTAATGAAATCTATTTATAACTTCTTTATCAGTGAGTTTCGTTCAATCTTTCATGTTCTAACCCTTTATAATAATACCCGATTGTACACACTATATTATTTCAAATAATACAATCATGTTAAATTATTTTTTTTATTGTTGGTTTGGGAATTACCTAAACTTTTCTGAATAGCCTTTAAAGTACTATTTATGTCTAATTCTTTCAATTGTCATTATTAAAAAAAGTCGCGATCGCAATCCTTTCATATGCCATATATATGGAAAATGGAATTGTCTCCCGGCCCATGTATTCCCTCCTTCCTATAACGTAGGGTCCTTCAAGCGAGGCGTGAAGAAGCACCTACGTACTGTTCATATCAGGTGGAGCGCAGTCATTTGCCCTCCATTTCATATATATATAATAAAGTGAAGTTCGTGAATATATTTCAAATATAAAAATCTATAGAGATTGGGAATTGGGAATTGGTAAGGATTTCCGAGGACCGAGGCTATAAATAGGTATATATTCCTCTGCCAAGAACAGTACCTTCAGATATTCGGGTATGACTCCCAATAGAGGCACAATTAAGCAGAGAATTCACTAGACTGGCATACGTGTGGACAAATCTTCAAGCATGCCTGCCAGACTTCTTTACTTTAAGGTGGGCATGTCTGACTAGTTTAGGACCATCGCAGTTACTTCAAGGGCTTAAGCGGGGAGTTCACTAGTATAACAGGCATGACTTGCCCGCGGGCATGCCCTTATAGTGAATTCACCGCTTTACCTTCTCTTTCAGAGTACAGAGATAATGACGTATTTTTTTCTATCATAAGTATCTTAACTACATAAAGATTGGCCAGCTTTGACAAAAATAAAATATCGTAAAATATCTATAATGTACAAAGCTACTAATGAAATCTTTCATACACGCAAAACGAGAATGTATATGCTCTTCTCGTAATAAATTGTTAGTATTGCATATGACTAATTAGCATCTACAAATGTTTATATGACACTACTATTATCAATATAACCTCGGCGTCATAACCGCACCCACTTACGTCTGACGGTACCCACGCGTTGTCGCGAAGTAAAGGCGTGACTCTTATCTGCCTACGTTATTATAATTAGCAGTAGTCAACTAAAAAGACTAGTAAAATAAGATATTGTTATCGAATCGTGGGAAATTTTCATTCAATTATAATGTTTTGACAACTTCATTGTAATCGATACATGTAACAGTGTAACTAAGGAGACTCTTGAAGTAATGATCTCCTACTATCCAGCTTCGTGAGGCTTCATTCGACTAACTAACCTAGCATAGCTATTTTATATCATCCGTCTTTTAAAAAAGAGTTTATCACTTGTTCTATAGGTACCTACTATAAAAATAACACGATTACGTAAATTTGGAGTGGCAATAACCATTTATTTATTTTTTATAAATAAAAATGATCATTTAAGTTATTAATGTGGACGTGCTTCAATCTTATATGTTATTAGACATTTGCTGCTGTGAGAAGGGCAAAATATAATCTGATTAATGGTAACAGATTATGATTAATCTTTAAATTCAGAGTTTGATTACAGAAATTTTAGGAGAGACTACGAGTATTTAAATGGTTATCTAGATGACAGATTACTTTATAGATTAATGATTAAATTGCAAACTTAGAAATGTTTAGTGAAAATACTCTGATTACAAAAACAGTGGATTACACCTATCTTTGGCGCCACTTTACAATTTATTTGGGCTACCTCAGGTATGGATGATGGCCCCTGGCCTCGGGCAAACATTGATTTCTTCAGAAATTGAATTTAAATAAAAATTCAAAATTGAATGTGATAACTACTGACCTACACAGTAGGTACATATACACTTCATTACGGATAATCAATTACGTTTAGGTATGTACATTTTTTTTATATTTTGTGTAGGTTCTTTTAGATATGTAATGGATTAAATGAAAGTAACTATCGTACACTAATGATCAGTATTAAACCGAAGATTATTATAATAAGGACACTATTATTTATTTAAGCTTTATTGCACAAATAAAAAAGTACAAATAGCGGACTTAGTGTCATTAGGCATTCTCTACCAGTCAACCGGAAAGTTGTAGCAAAGAAGGCGGTGCAACAATCAAATAAAAATAATGTATACGCATATAATTAAATCCATACATACCATACATATAGAATAAATTAATAAAATCTCAAGTATATTTACATAATAAGTCTTTCGTTATTAAATAAATAAATATATATTTAAACTAAAACTAAACTTAACTAATTTGTTCAAACTCATAAAACCGACCTAACCCACTCCCTCAATCAATCGTTAATATGTTGATTATGTATCGACTCAACCTTTCCTTTTTATCAACTCACTGTTTTGCTGAAAAGGCATATTATTTGCGTTATTACCTTATGCTCGAGGCCTCAAAGAGTGAGGAGCTATATGAAGCGGTTCATAATTGAAAAGCGAGTACTCCCTCATTTTGTCGAAATGAAGACCTTAAACAAGGTACCTCACGAGTGGTATTGCCAGGTCCAATTTGTTTAAAAATGGGACATAAGATAAAAAAAACGGGACTTAAGGTTGCAAATCGGGACAAACAAAAACAATGTTTTTAGTCGACTTCATAAAATAAGGTTATCTATTAGACCAGTATTTATACCATATTAACACAACTTAATTTATTTTTAATTTTTTACCATTACCTTCACTTAGTTATTCCAGTTTTGAGCTAGGGTCGCTTATCCCAAAAAATAAATTAAGTACTGTATTGTATACTTTATTTGGAGAGCTTATTATTCGCATTTAGTAATACAAAAAAAAAAAACATAAACAGTGCGATTTTTATTCATCACCTTCAAAATTAGTAAATTTCAATATGTTTCATTTATCACATAAAACGTCCATGTTATGTTTTATAATGGGCGTGGAAGTGGATCGGAAGCTAGACTAGAAATATTGCCGAAGCGTGGCGTTCTGTCCCGTATCACCTTTAAAGCCAGCCACTTGCGTGAGTTTCCATTATTTTTGTTGTTGTTTGATATCCTATTAATATTATAAAGGCGAAAGTTTGTAAGTATGGATGTATGGATGTTTGTTACTCTTTCACGAAAAAACTACTGGACGGATTTGGATAAAACTTTACAGCAATATAGGTTATACATCAGAATAACACATAGGGTACTTTTTACTGGGAAAACTTCTCACTCCCACGGGATACCGACTTCCACGCGGACGAAGTCGCGGGCGTCCACTAGTATTACATATTTTAATAAAATGTTATACTTATTTATTCTTAGCTAAAATTTATTTACATCTATTTATAGTTTTTTAAACCTTCAGTAATATGAATGAAGGCGTGATATTTATTTGCCTGTTATTAATGCTTCCGATTCAAATCTGCTCTATTCAAAACAATATATTTTCATGAATGTATTCTTTTCGAGGATAGAAAACATGAGTTTACCCTGCACCCGAGCATTTATCTATTACGAATAGGCGAGAAAATAAATAAATAATTTTATTTAAGAATAAAAAATAAGTAGTTTTATTTAAAATATAATAATATATCTAATAACTAAAGAAAAAATGTGCTATGTGAACTCACGCAAGTGGCAGGCGTAAGCATACCAGGCAGGACGCCACACTTCGGTAGTATTTCTAGATTAGCTCCCAATTGAATACAACGCCCATTATAAAACTTAAAACATAGGTACTACACAATATTAGCTATTTTTAGAAAAAAATGAAATGGTCTATCTTTATGAAAATTGACGTAAAAACGCATTTTTTAAATTCGATTTTAATTAAAAAGCTTAAATAATCCACTTTATCCCTGACACTCTGAGATGGGACTTAAACCCATGACCTTTCGCAATCCCGGCGACTGCTCTAACCACTGACCTACTCACTGAGGGCCTAACAGGACTGACGAATTTTTCAAGCTCTGTGAACAATTAATTTCGGTTATCCTCAGAAGTTGCCAGAGTTACTGAATAAGCTTTTTCTTCTACCTCCATGTAGCTTTGCTGCACAGAGAGCTGTCTGTGACATGTGAAAAGGTATCTGTTAAAATTGCTATGACCATTGGTAACTATTATCGAGATGGAGGTTTTGCATCCTAATCTTTGTGCACCAGCTTGTCAACTATATTAATTCCACGTGATCAACTGTGTCTTTTTATCTATTGAATAATAATCTCATTTAGAGTTTCTACCAAGTTAAAAGTTTTAGTGACTGTCATGTGAAAACACAGTCTTATCAGATTGACAATCGGTGTAATGAAATTATTGCCACTTGTAGCACTGACAAAACAAAGACAACATAATATGTTATGAAATTATTATTTTCACAATGCTATGTCACATCTCGGGGTAGTGTTTTCCTTAAGAATGTTACGAAATATTAAGTTTTTAATTTTGTCAGGGTTAGTTAACAGCCACAGTTATAATAGTATCTAATAGCTGATACACAATTGAAGTCATAAGAATGATGAATGATATGATATAAGGATAAAAAATATTTCTGTGGAATAGACGAACGAATGTCGAATGACTGACTACATTTATTGGTTTTTATAAATAATATAATAACCCTGGATATTGCTGGTTGAAAATAAAATAAAATTATATATTGATTTGGCTATCAGAATTTCAAAAATATTAAGGAATAAAAAAGAAAAAAGAAGACAAGTTAGAAGATTGGGCGTTGCCTTAGGTTTGTCTCATCAAATAACCTACTCAAGATTGGGCACTATGGCTAAGTTCCTTCGCCTATTCCAATGGACGAATTAATTAAACTACTATGTAATACTACGAGTGATTGTCCGAAAAGTAACTAATAATAGTATGTAACAGAATATTTAAACTTTGGTTAAAGTAATTAAAATTTTAATTAAAGGTTGAAAAAAAATTATAACTGATTTTTAAGAAATAGGCTGTATGGGTTCAGATCTCTTTGCCCTCTTGCTTCGTGGGAACTAACGATTGTCAAAAAAGTTTACTTTCTTTCATTTGCACAAAGTAAATAACATCACGTATTTTTTTTTTTAATTAAAAACCGCAACTTATAAATTACTAGTTTAATTAGGTGTCATCCATCAAAATCATTTTTCTTTTATGTGCGACTCCTTGTGTTATAATAAGCTAAGGTTTGTAAATATTTCTGTAACTCTAACCTATACAATAAAAATCAAACTTTAAAAAATAGAATGTAGATAAATTTGTTTAGTTACTTCAAAGAAAAAGTTATCACAAAATGATATAAAAAAACTACGTATTAAAACAAACTTGCCATACGTTGTCTTTACAATCAGAATCAGATTGTTTTTATATCTTAAAATAACAACATATCTGTATTATTTTTATGTCGAAAATGTTCGCATGACGCAACAACACTAACGCAATAAAGTTTAATCTGATATGACTGAAAAATTCTTTGAATTGTTTGGCGTATGTGGAGGATATTTACTCGTATTGTTGCCATGTATGCATCAACAAAAGTTGTGGGTTACCTTTTGCAACCATTCTTAGTATAAGGCCCTGATGTCCATGTTATGCATAAGAAAAAGAATTCAGTTTGTTCGGTAATATTCAATCTTGCAGCGATTTAACAATTTTATTGTGTCATCAAAAATACCTGTATTGCATTGGTATCAGTTTTCACTTATCAACATTTTATTAAATAAAGTTTTGTGAAATTACTATTAAGGAATGGTGTCTCTTTTAAGAATCGCATACTAATGTCTTGCCCTTGTTAATATTTTTTCCTCAAATTTGTCAAGTACATTGTAAGGATAATATTTTTTAGTTTATTTTTGGTTGTTTACTATTATTGATTGTATACATTATCTGTTTAGCCGAATGTGAGTATATCATTTAACCTATTTAACTTGAAATATCCAGTAATGTAGAGCAGATACAGGTCAAATGTTACAAGAGTAGTTAAAAGCGGTTTGCACTCCCAGTTACTGCACTTTTTGATACAACATGAACTATGTCACCTTAGCAACTTCTTAAGTAAGAACTGACAATAAGCAAATATTTCCAGCTGATCATTTCTAAAGTAGTATTCTTATCAGTGTAGTGGAAATATGTTGTTTATCTATAGTGATCTAATGACCTATGTACGTCAACAGTAGGTGATGAGGCAAATCTTGTGCTACAGTTTAGTCAGTTCATTACTGAAATCCACAATGAGAAGTCACACATACATAGATTCCTTGGGCTCGGCCAGGTAAATTTATAAAAAGATGTTGACGTTTGCTTATTTGTTTCTATGAGTTATATTGCCCATTCGTTTTGTTTGGTGATTAGTTTTGGGCATTTGTTTTTATTTATTTTTATCATGTTTTCTATAACACATTTTTTTTTCCTTTTCAATAACAATTGTTAGGTCACCTATAAACTTTTTATTTTATTAATGTTGGCTTTATACATTGTGCTTTGTTTACTTACAGTAATATGATTGAACTATAATAATATATATGATTTTTTTTTTATTGACTTGATTTTGTAGATTTTTTAACAACAAACATTATGATGTAATGGTTTCTTTGTCTAATAGGATGATGGCCCAAGTCCTAGATGGAAAATCTCTTGCCAAAGATATCAAAGATGAATTAAAACTCAAAATACAAGAGTGGGTCAACAGGGGCCACCGGGCACCCTCACTAAAGTGTATCATAGTTGGAGACGATCCTGCGAGTCATACATATGTCAAAAACAAAGTTGAAGCCGCAAAGTATGTTGGTATTGATGCTGAGACTATAAAGTATGAAGACACTTTAACTGAAGCTGAATTAATAAATGCCATTAAAGAGTTGAATGCAGATGAAAATGTAGACGGTATTCTTGTTCAATTACCTGTGCCAGAAACTATGGACGAGAGGAAAGTTTGCAATACAGTGGCCCCGAAAAAGGATGTTGACGGTTTCCATATTATAAATGTTGGTCAACTGTGCTTAGATATGCCCACTATTGTCCCAGCAACTGCACTTGCTGTCATTGAAATGCTCAAAAGGTAAATTTTGATCAAGCTTTTTTTTTTATATGAATTAACCAACTAGAAATTTTAATGGTCTCAAATTTTATAAGACATAGTTATTATAGCTTTACTCAAGAGTAATTTTGAACTGAGAAGACATAATTTCATTTATATGTATATTAAATTTATAATGATTATAGTTATTTAATTTTAATTACTTCAAATGAGGGAAAAAGAAAATATACTATGTAGCACAACAATTTTATTATAAAGAGAATTGTTTTGATTATGCAGTTAATAATTTGTTTGTTAACCTGCGGCAAGAGTTCTTGTTTATACAAGGTTATTTATAAAACAACAGTAACCTTGTATTATTGGATAGCTATAGACATCATACTCTGGGTTTAATCATAACTCATTACTTTGAACCATAATTATTTTTCAAGTTTATCATCCTATAGTAACATTTGTAGGTCTAAGTTTTACTCAGAAAATAGGAATACGCTTTGTTTTGGTAATGTATGTAGGCTTCTAACATTCAAACAGTTAATTAAATCATGTCATGTCATGTTACGAACTATCATAAGTAGCGTCATGTTTTAAAAATCACCCTGTATTAGTTTATTAATATCATTAATTACCTTTTGGTAACATTTAAAACTTTGTTTTAGGTTCAAAATCGAAACCTTTGGCCGGAATGCTGTAGTTGTCGGTAGATCGAAGAATGTCGGTATGCCAATAGCTATGATGCTGCATTCTGACAAGAGACATGACAGCGGTTTGGGTATGGATGCGACGGTAACGATATGCCATCGGTACACACCAAAAGAGCAGCTGGAGTCGTTCTGCCGTAATGCTGACATCATTGTAACTGCTACTGGTAAGATTTCTATTTTACTTGGAAGTTAAGCTTCTGCTGAATTTCAAGATGGTTGACTTACAATTTTGCTAGCATATTACTATTTTGGAGTTGTTATACAAGAAACAGTAGTCATTCCATTCCATATCTAATAATATATTAGAAATATAATACATTGTCAATATACAATACATTGTCAGTGGTTTGGTTGTTGGCAGACAATAGTAGTTACTTTATTGTATTTTTTCTTTTTTCTATGGTGTTAAGACACCAATTCGATTGGATTTAACTTTACTTTTGCATCTTTGAATAGGTATACCAAGTCTTATCAAAGCCGACATGGTGAAACCTGGTGCTACAGTAATCGACGTTGGTATCACTAGAATCACCGATGAACAAGGAAAGACCAAATTGGTTGGCGACGTTGACTATGATGGTAAGTTGAAAAATTATAAAACGGAAAAAAAAAGAAAAAGAGAAGAAAAATGACGACACGGCCTGCTAATATTAATAAGCTAAGGTTATTACTATACATAGTACTGTGGTTAATATTAATTAATGTACATAGTACCGTGAACAAATAGTTATAACTTACCTCTTAAAATTACTATTTTTCTCAGATAACCGTAATATTAAAATTATTTTTAATAAAAAAGAATAAAAAATAAAATATTTTTAGATGTAGGTATATGTTTTTTTGTTATTTTGTTTTTATTTTTAAACAGAGGTAAGAAAAGTCGCGGGTGCCTTAACACCTGTTCCTGGTGGAGTTGGTCCGATGACAGTCGCAATGTTAATGCACAACACATTCCAAGCCGCACAGAGACTACGTGATACAACCACTAACTGAGTGAGTCACACTCTGCTTACATGCCGTTTCTGCGTTGCATATACTATGGCTGTATATTAAAAAGTATTGAATCTTATTATTAGCGCGATAGATACCATTTTTGTTACTGCACTCATGTCTTTGTGTCAATATCGTTTAATTAGATTTTTCATATATAAAAATGATATTCTGTTTACTCTAAAATTAGTTTTTATTACTGATATGTATTTTTAGTGGTTATTTTTATTGTAGTTCTAAACAACTGATGATAATTTTTCTAGTTAAAAATTTGGCAATCTGTCCTTTTATTTTTGTAGGTTAAACAATCTTTGTTGATGGATAAAAATATGGTGATGTAAATTATCATTATTTATTATTAGTTTTCAATCATTGCTATTATTAATATTGCTTGTTCGAATTGAAGCTTTTTTTGTTGTTATATTTTTGACGAATATCATTTGTGATATTGTAAATAAATATGAGGCAGGTCCTCATTAAAGTAACGTATGACTAACAAAAACAATGGCATTAACGAGACATGGCAGTTTCTATTATTGCCCTAAACGGTTCACACACAAATAAAAAATAAAATACTTTACACTCGATATAAATCTTAAAATACGTGTTTCTGTAAATAAAACTCTGAAACCGGTTTATAACATTGACTATGCAACGGTTACGATTAATATTAATGATTAATTATTGTGCCGGTTTTAGTTATATCACCATTGAATTTCATGAACCTGTAAACCGTCGAACCTGCTAATAAAGATATGACACCGATAAACAAAATAATATTCAAGTATTAATAACGAAATACCATTTCATAAGATATTTTTTGCCTGAGAGTATAACGATCGTATTCAATGTTTGTCATGTTTTGATCTTGACTCTTTGTTGACATCTAATTAATTATAATAGGTGTTATATATTTTATTGTTTTATTTGTGTGTAAAACAACACAATCTGCTTATACAGTGGGTGTTATAAGTATTATTATGTCATTTTTGTGTCGGTAAATTGACATTTAGTGTTAAGATTAGATTCGTATTGTGACTGTTACTGTGAAAATAAATATATTTTCTTACATTCCTATATAAAAAATATAATTGCAGTGAACAAATATATACTTCCTCTACTTAAATAATGACTATCTATTTAATTTTTTTATAAAATAAATACACACCTGTTTCTGAAAATTTTATATGGGTAATGTTAAACGAGATAGCTATCACTGTAGCCGAGTGGTTCGCAACCCGGTTTTAAGTTATCGCAGATAAAGCAAAATGTAAAGAATCAAAAGTCACAGAGCAAGCGTTATCATAAATATTCATGCTATTATATATTCTGTGAGGTTAATGTGTTTTTCAACTAACCCTGTATAATGTGTTGATTACCCATATGAAAAAAAATGTATCATCTATTTCTTTTTACAGTAGAAAGTTTATAAGTTACACTGATGTACGTGTGCAGAAGTTTCATGAAAGTTTTAGGTCAACACAAACTGACGACGTGAATTCATTATAACTCCGGGCATCAAGTACATCAATATCCTATCCTATTAATATTATAAAGGCGAAAGTTTGTAAGTATGGATGTATGGATGTTTGTTACTCTTTCACGAAAAAACTACTGGACGGATTTGGATAAAACTTTACAGCAATATAGGTTATACATCAGAATAACACATAGGGTACTTTTTACTGGGAAAACTTCTCACTCCCACGGGATACCGACTTCCACGCGGACGAAGTCGCGGGCGTCCACTAGTAAATTATAAACGTGCTTCTGTTGTACATTAAAATCTAATATAATAATATAGTTCTACCTGTAGGTAGACAAAGACAAATGTAATCTGATAAATATAAAATATTACAAGTTCAATATGTAATTTTCATTCAGGATTAAAGATCATATTATTATTTTTATGTAAATTACAGCTCTCTTGTTCTGCATACATAATCTAAGGTTATATAAATTTTGTTAAGATATTACATTAAAGAAATTCGTTATTAGCAATATGTTTTTATTATCAGCCCTAATACATTAATAGTTTTCGTTAAATTTAAATGGAACAAGTAAATATATACTATTCATTGCATTGTACCATTCAAATCAACAAACAACGTCTACATTTTATATACAAACGATACTACCCTCGCGCGCTGTTTATATATTGGTGTTTCTCCTAGAGATATTAATATTCTAGCAATAATTTGAATTATGATAAATTTTTGTACGAGTGTAAAATGTAACGAGTAAAAAAAATAAAACTAAGAACAAACGTTGTTTATGATGTTGCCTTCTGGTTTTACGAGGTTGATGAGATTTTAGAATTAACCCTGTATATTACGACGTCCTAGGTGCGTGACACTATATCCCAAGCCGGTTTTAATGTATAACCATTTCTGAGGTACCGTGGCCTTATTATCAAATTTTAAAGGTATATCGATTTATAAAATACGATACTTTAAAGTTGAATTTGCTTTTGAAACGAATGACGATTTGAATGATCATGAATCGTAAAAAATACTTAGCTAAACCCGTCGATATATTACATACACTTATATTACAATTCTTTCGTTTAACATTTATCAATAGTTTTCAATATAGATTTATTGTCTTTTATAAATCTTCTCCTTTCAAAGATTTCTAAAATTAACGCCAAATAACGATATCCTTTATTCAATGTCTTTCAAATGTAAAATTAATGAGATTGCAGTAAATTATAAAATCATACAATCAATACATATAGATCAGTGAACTTTTCTATATTGTCTCTGGTCTTGGTATTATGGTAGACAAGTTTTTGCCCACCAATTCGTTTGCGTGGTATTAATATTATATAACAGTACTTATTTTTCATTAAAAAATACTTAAGTTTTCAATTTGTGTTGTGTTGTTTAAACTGTTTTCTCGTATACTAGTTGCACGTTTTTTGTTTGATAAAGTATATTCTTGAAATAATCTCATTTAAACTTTACCAAATCAAATCAGTAATTTTGTTATAACATAAACATACATCGCCTAAAATATCTGGACAATGTGGTTGCCACAATGGAATTACAAAATAAAAATGTTTATTTTTAAAAGAAACAGCCGTAAAACAATTCTTATTTTTAAAAAATCAAACTTCATTTGAAGTCAGACTTGTAAAAAATTATCTTCGTCCGAACCCAACTTGAGTTTATTGAACATGAAAGGAAATGAAAAATGCTTAAAAATCCACTTTGTCTCTTGCACTCTGAGATCCACTTTGTCCCACCTCAGAATTCCAGGGACAAAGTGGATTTTTTAAGGAAGAATATCTTTCAGTTTGAATTGAATGAATCCAAAATATCAAATATAATTATAAGAATTAATATTTCTGTTCCAAGTTATCATGAAATTTAATTTAACTTAACAGAAATTTAACTTAACAGTTTTCATAAAGTTGGGTTTGAATACCATCTCAGAGTGCCAGAGACAGAGATTTTTTAGATTTTTTTCATTAAGTATATTTTTGTGAGTTTTTTACAGATAATTTAAAGCTCGCCAACTTTTCTTTCGAAAGCATTCATATATCTATTTTCATTTAGTCAGCGTTCACAAAAAGAGGTGCCCTTGGAGATACTTCTATCCCTAGGAAAACTTTTAGTGGGATAAAAAGCCTTTACTTTAATCCTGTCTTTATGAAAGTATACCTGAAGCAGAAGCAGAATTGCCTGTATACCATATTTCATCCAAATCCGTTCAGTAGTTTTTGCGTGAAGAAAGAACAAACATTCGAACCTACACACTTTCGCCTTTATAATATTTATTGAGGGTGCTGATCCGGCTCTATGGACCAAACTGTAGACGATGTTGTATAACCGTGGATGATGGTGAAAACAAAGACGAATTTCTTCTATAGACGTTTTATTTTTCTTCTTACTGGCTACTTATTACTGCTTGACTATACTGCTTGACTGACTTGACTTGACTACAAATATTTACAAATTTGGCCCTACCCTTATTCTACACTTAACATCTAACTTAGCTACTAGTGACGCGCGGCGGCCGACCAATCACAGCGCGTTTTACGCCCGCGCGCCGGGTGGGGGAATCGCCCCCACCGTGCGGACGGCGCATACGCAGCGAATGGGCTCCCTGAGAATTCCGCAAATGTAGGCGCTGTGATTGGTCGTTCGATCTGTACATTTTTCGGCACGCGGCTGTCGTCAACAGTCTCCCCCCGGCGAAGGATCTCCGCAGCCTCCTCCGGTTGGCAGCCCCGTGCCCGTCGCGCAGCGCGTCCTCTCTCATCGTTCCGTGGAGAGTGCAGGTTCGACGACGATCAGCTTCGATGTCGGCCGCCGAAATGTTCCTCCTCTTGTCGTTATCTCCACGTTCCGAATCACGCCGTCAGGTCCAGGGTAGGTATTGGCTACGATGCCGCGTGGCCACGTGTTTCGAGGCAGAGCGTGGTCGGCTATGATAACCACGTCTCCGGTCCGTACTTCGCTGCTTCGTGGACGTTGTGGGTCGCGGCGTGGTACGAGGGTCGGTAGGTACTCTCGTAGCCAGCGTTTCCAGAAGGCGTCGGCTAGTGCTTGCGTCGCCCTCCAAGTCCTGCGGTCGCCCTCTTCACATGGCCCGGTGTATGGAAGGCCGGTCGATGACCCCAACAAGAAGTGGTTTGGGGTTAGCGCCTCCGGATCGCTTGGGTCTACGGAGACATGCGTCAATGGTCGTGAATTGACAGCATGTTCCGCCTCGGCCAGTAGAGTGTGCAGGACTTCCTCCTTCGGTGCTCGTTCCTTTAATGTGGCGTTGAGCGCGGTTTTCACGGAGCGAACCATGCGTTCCCAGGCTCCGCCTTGGTTAGGTGCTCCCGGCGCGATGAATTTCCATGTGGCATCGTAGTTCATCGCCTCTCTCTTCAGCTCGGGAAGCCACTCGGTGTACGCCTTCTTGAGCTCGGTGTCAGCCCCTCGGAAGTTAGTGCCGTTGTCACTATATATTACGGCGGGCCATCCTCGTCGTGCTGCCATTCTTCGTAGTGCCGCTTGAAATTCCAGGCGCGGTACGGTTTGGGTCTTCAAGGGCGCGACCTTAGCTCTTGCCGCTATCAGGACTGTCTCGATGACATGGCCGGGTCCGTAGTACAACCTCCAATACGCCGCCGTTGCGTAGGCTTCTTCGCTGGCGTCGCAGAATACATGAAGTTCACGGCGACGCACTTCTCTCCCCCCGTTGTAACTACGGGGTAGCCGTAGTTGGTCGATTGCTAGCAGGCTTGCCAACCATGCATCGAAGTCCTCGCTCAAGTCGGATGGTAGAGGGTCGTCCCAGCCGGTCTTGAGGCGCCATAGTTTTTGAAGAGTTATCTTCGCTGTGATTGTGAAGCAGCTGAGCAGTCCGAGCGGATCGTATATGCTCATCACCGTCGATAATGCTTCTCTTTTCGTCGGCGGGCGTTGTCGAGACTTCACTGGCAGTGGGACTCTAAGCAGGGCGGTATTGAAGCCCAGCCGATCGGTACTCGCATCCCAAAGCAGGCCCAATGTCTTCTCTGCGTCTCCAAACGTCGTAGTCCCGCTTTTGGCTCTACTATCCGGGTTCACGGCTTGTAGT